ATTGACGTTCTGGATATTGTTGGTTTTGTTGTAGCTATGTATATCTTTTGTATTTGATTTCTTAAAGAAAATCACAAAATAAGCAAAAAGTTAAAGTGTGTGTGGATATTTTTGTATAATCATTTGTTGTAGTTTTTCATATTATTATTTTTCTTATAATTTTATGTATTTCCAATGTGTTTTGTTGTAATTGTTGTTTCATTATTTGTTTTTCAAGTGTTATTTGGTTTTCCTTGACAGTGAAGAGATTATTGTGTGGAGGCCAATTATTTTATTTGTATATATTGTTGTTGGTGTTGTTATATTTGACATTTTTGCCGGTTGTTTTTGTTGACATTTTAGATTTTTTGTTTTGACAATTATTCTTGTCTCTGTTTTGTATACGCGTACGTAACTTGTTGTGTTTTATATTAAAAGTGTCTGAATATAATAAGTAGACAAACACTGTGACTCATAGAGTTTAATTTTGAAAAATTGATTCAATGCAACGAAATGAATATTATTGTTGTTTTTTTGTCAACAGAAATTCAGTATACATACATATGTATGTACATGTATGTCTGTATGTACATATATGTATAATTTAAATTTACCTATAAATTTTTGTGTAGATATTAAAATGGGGACATTTAAATACTTTAAAATTATGGATGATAATGAGAATCGTGTGTTAATAAGAATTTAACTAAATGTATAATTATAAATATTAATAACATTACATACTATAATTATGTATGTTTGTGGTTAATTAGTAAATTGTAAATTTTTTAATTAAGCCTAAAGTAATTACAACAAAGGGAATTATTTAAGGTTTATTTTGTTTGAAATTTTCAGAATTTTTTTAAATAAAATTATTTTTTTTTATATTTTTGATAAGCAAATTATAATTGGAGGCTTTGATTTTAAGTAAAATTTTATTTCTTTAAAATATTACATACCTACTTATTATCAATTTGTATTAATTGTATAAATTTACGCTTTATTTTATATACATCAGAGAAGCTCAATATGGCCGTTTCATAGCACGCGTGATAGGGTAAGAAAATTCTGCTGACGCTAAGTTGATGCACATACACTACAGGTTTAATTCTTCTTCTTTTTATAATGAGCAATATCAGTTGGTTTGCTCTCAACTTGAAAAACAAAATCAAATCAGTTGCTGATCAGCACTTGTCAAAGCAAGGTCTGTGCGCGACGTTTTTAAAATACACACAGAAATACAACAACAAAATTTTGAGAAAGCCGAATGAATGTAGGAGAACATGAGAGAACAGTTGATAGTTTTTTATATATAGACGTTGCTATACGCTGGCTGTCAAAATCCATAATAAATATTTGACAGTTAGCATATACTTTATCGTTTGTAGTCATTTTATTAGTATACTTTTATTTTGAATTGAATTCTGTTCTCTGCTGCTTTACCAACACAAATAAAACTATGGTAGTCTATGGTAGTATGTGTTTGAGCACCACTGATATACATACATGGTTCTTTAATAAGTACGTACTGTACAAAATAGTTGAAACATTGTTGACTATTTTTAATTTGTGTCCGAAAAATAATTTTGAAAATTAGTAAAAAAAAATATCAACAATTTATGTGTATGTGTGTGTACTACAAGAAACTAACAATTAAAAAATTAAAATAAAACAAGTAAGAATGCATTGTCGGACATGGCCGACCATATGATACCCTACACAGGAGAGTATGTGAAAAATATGGAGATTTTTTTAATAATAAATCATTAAGTTTGTTTTTTACCGTAATTCCGACAATCTGTTGACAAAAAAAGAGAAGTTTTGAAGAGGGGTTTATAAATATGGGCCTATCTTTATAAATTTTTGCAGGTGGATTTACATTTACATTAATGCTATTCATGCAGAATTTCATCATGATATTAGATATGTGATATCTGAAGGGGACTTTGTATGGGGGCTAGTGTAAATCGAAGCCCGATAATTTCGAAAATCGGCAGTGCCATTTAGACTTACATATATAAAACTTCGTTTTTCCGATTTTTGAAGATATTCTAGAACATTTATCATAATTATGAGCTTAAAAGCCCTATTTAAGGATTACCATTGTATGGGAGCTAGGCGAAATAATTGACCGATTTTAAACTTTTTCAATAAGATTCGTCGTTAAAGAAGAGTATGTCCCAAATTTCATCAAATTATCTTCAAAATTGCGACCTGTAGTTTGATAACAGACGGACGGTCATAGCTAAATCGACTAAGGTGGCTGTATGTCCAATATTATTGCGCGTTACAGACGTCAGCACAAACCCAATATACCCTCCCCACTAAAGTGAAAAGAAATTAAAAATTGTAATACCAACAGAACGCGTACGAGGCATAATAAGTGAGATATTCGTAAAAACTTATTTTTGTGAGCTTTGACTGACAATATCTCGCTTTCTAGGAGAGATTTTAAGTGAAAAGAAACTTAAACTGAAAGAAGTCTATTTTGAGGAACATCAATGTAAACAATGAAGTTTGAGTTATATATACTTCTCATTATGTAGTATGATGTTAACAAAAATATTTTGGGTTTATTATTGACAATTCATGAGCTGAACGGTTTTAAAAATACCCCAAATAGGACACGATTTTATATATTAAATTCAAAATTTTTTCGATTTATTTTATGGTTATTCTTATTTTGAGACCATTTTTTAATATACTCTTCTGTTACTAAGAATCCCCAAATCCTCATATTTTTGCCCACATTTTCGGTTATATCTAGACAACAAAGTTATTTTAGTCTATATAAAGTATATATCTTATCTTACGTATGATGTATACGAAATACTACGATCATTTGTGAAATCTAAAATTTTTAATAAATAAAAACAACAATACTAAGTAAAATATACATTAATTACTTTTCTATATTATACAAATTTAATACCTATAATATACTAAAATTTTTCTAAAATAAACTTAAACATGTTTTTTTTCTATATCCAACGAAACACATCTAAATATACATACATATGTATGTATGTAATTAGTTGGTATCTACTACATTCTTACACAGGAACAACAAATATCCTTAATGGACTGTATGACTAAATATGGAGTAAAAAATTAAAAGTTTTTTGTTTTTATAAATGGAAAAATTGTGTTATGTTTTGTTCAGTTTAGTTAGTCTTCTTCTTAAAGCATTTTCGTTTTTTTAGAGGTAAAAGAAAACATCTATCTGTAGCTTTCCTTGCAAGTAAAACTTTTATTTTAAAACAAACTCGAAAAGAACAACTAAACATTTTTACAAGTTTGTTCTTAAAAAAACTTAGAATTAATGATATTTGATTAGTTGAAGTGGAAATTGGCTGCTGAATATAATATTTACTTAAATAAAAACAACGTAAATGTATTAAGAAATCTACTACGCCTTTATGCTGTCTTTGGCAGGTTCTTTTCTTGTATCTGGAAATAACATTTGGAATAACAAAGTTATCAAAAGCCTTTTATTTGTAATTCAAAACGCCTGCTTGGGTTAGAAAAAATGTATTTTTTAGGGCAAAAGATATAACTCAAATCGAAAGTTCACCCCAAAAAATGGATTATGAGTGTTGAAGAAATTTTCTGCAGGAAACTTTTTATGGGGGGTAGAGCCAATTACGGACCAATCCTCATACAATTTGAGAGATTTGAGTTTATACAAAACCTGTTTACGGCAAATTTCGTTGCTATATTGGAATTTTGTAGCAAATTATGAGCATTAGTCGTTTATGGTGGGTAGGGTCGATTATGGACCGTGCCGCATTAAATTTGACAGATAGATTTTAGTTCCTATAAAACTTGCTCAAATATCACATACATGCCTTTTTTGCCAGTTGTGAGCATTATCATCATTTCCGGAAGAGGAGCCTATATGTGAGGTAGGTTTAATTATGCACTGAGTTTCTTAAAATTTGTCAGAGAGATTTAAGTCTGTATACTCGTTGCTATATAAAATTTCTATCATATTAAACTTGTTTTTTGAACGGAACTTTATATGGGAGGTAGGTCCAATTATGGAAAGACCCTCAAAAAAATTAAAAAAATAATTTTTAAAACTTGTTTGTATTGTATTGTATTTTTTTTTTCGTTTTTGCAAATTAAGAGCTTTTTCTAAGGAAACTTTAAATGGGGTAGGGTCACTTATTTTGTCAAATTTCTTAGCTATACATGCTTTTTTAAGCCTGTTACGAGCGTTATAGTAATTTTCCGAAAAGGTCCTTATATCATGGCCCAATATCGACTATTTTCAATACCAATTTCAGCTCCATAGCTCATTTCGTTTGGACTCAATCGTGTTTTCAACAGACAGACGGGCGGACATGATTATATTAGAAATAAGGATCCAGAATACATGTGTTACAAACTTAACTATTCTTAAATAGAAATTTATAACCGACAAACCTATAGGCTAGGTTTTTTGGAAATTAAAAAAAAAAATATAAATGTCGGACGTCTCTATTTTCGAAAATATGAAAAGAGCAAAAAACTAATTTTTATTAATGCAAAAAGTGGTTAGAAATTCTTGTTGAAAACCCCATTTATTTGGCCTTCTAATTGTTATCTGAATCAAGAGAGTAAAGTACATTAAGTCTATAATACATCGATGTAATAGAACCATTAAATTGCTGCTGGCAAATTTTTAACATCAAATAATTCCGATCCTAGTCAAGTCAAAGAAAACGGACATTGAAACAAAAACGATATAGGGTCCTAATTTAACCTATGTACATATGTATGTATGCCCCAATTTTTATTTCATAGGAAAATTTGTGTAATTTTTTTTAATTATCTTAAGTAGTTATAAATTTATTGAATATTAATTTTATTGATAATTTTAAAATTTTAGCGTTTGGCATTTTTATCTTTATTCCAGATTGAACTATACTAATAAATTTATTGCATATTTTAGGAAAAAGAGGAAAAAAATATAAACTAAGAATATTTAAAATGTAAATAGTTCAGTGTATGTATTCTTCACATTTTATTCCACCTACCTAATCGAGAAAAAACAATCAACACGATGTTTTTAGATGTAGACGTCGGTGATGAAGATGGGAATCAGGAAAATAAGCAGCACGAATCCCCAAATACAAAATTGTATTCCAACAAAAGCAGAAACACCACAAAACGAAGAAAGAGTGAACAGTAAGCAGCGAATAATAAAATACACACTTTTTTTTATTATTTTCAACAAAATTTCTACTTTCACATAAAAAAATCGAAAATTTCGAAAGAAATGTATAACAAATTATAAATTCAAATTAGCTTTTTAAAATTTTTGTTTGAAAATTTGTTTTTCTAACTTTTTTTGTTTAAATTGTAAAACACTTTGAAACCAAGAATATTGCGTTGCACTTTTTTATATGAATATTGTTGTTGTTATTGGGTTTTTATTTCCCCTTCTTTACACTTTGAAACAAATAAAATAAAAAACACAAATCACACAGCAACAACAATAATATTAATTTGCAAAACACAAAACAAATATAATATCAATTTCTGAAAACGCTGATGGCGATATAGTCTTTTGCTGAGTCAAACGGGGTAAGAAATGAAATCAAATGGATTTTTATATATTTATTTTTAATTTTTTTACACGGGACTAAAAAGAGACTAGCACCGAACGACGTATTGATGGAGCAGTTTAATTTTTTTCTTATTTATTTTATATTTTAACAAACAGCAGACTACTTTAAAACACAACCGTCAAAGACGAGAGTAAAGAGCACATTAAATTGGCCAGCAAATAAAAATCAAATAAAATCTCTCCCAGACGCATTTATAAGGTGATATCTAGAGCTCAGTTGATTATTGTTTACCAAACAACTTTATGTCAGAATCCATATAAAAAATATTCTCTTTTGACAAAAATCTACTGTCAAAACTTCCTTAAAAAAATTGTTATAAAAGAAAATCCATACTTATATTGTAAAAAATTCTTCTGTTTAACTTATTAACTACATTTAAAAATTTAGTATTATTATTTTCAATATATTAAAATTTTATTTATATAGTTAATAAATAAATATACCCACAATATACAACACTGTGTTAGGCAACTACTAAATTAGACAACTGTTTCAAAAAAGGTACTTGTTTTCATTTTCACTTACCTCCTACGCTTTTTTATATTTTTCTTTTATTTTCTCTGCAGTTTTATCACCTGTTTCGTTTTCTTTACAGTTTTCTTATCTTATTTTTTCCGATATATATTTTTCTTGTTCTTGCACTGTTCTATAAAAAAAATTAACACTTTAAAAATCTTTTTTTTTCAATTTACAAAACTATTTTTTCTTTAGACTAATTTGTTTTTGTTTATTTTTTGACTTTTATGAAATTCTCTAGTCTTTTCTTTAAGAATTCCTCAACACTTTTTTGCACGCTACTTTTTTTCTTATTAGTTAGCACCAGTGTTTTTTATGCAAATTTATTTGTTTTTCCACTGCAAAATAGTTTCTAATAAAATTATCTATTATTTCGTTAATTTTTCTTTGTTTTTAATAGGATTTCAAAGTGTTTTTTTCAAATTTTTCTTTATAGCACTTGAGAATTTGCTGCGTATTTTCGTGTCGAGAAGCAACAATTGAATTGCATTTATTAACAGAGCTGCCACTAGAGTCCTGCGCCGACAAATATTAACGGCGGCGGCTAACACTAAAAATGTCGGCGTTGGTTTAAAATCGACAGTAAAATTTTCAACGTTTAAAAAAATTAAAAACGGAATCTGGGAGATTAAAAAGTGGAATTTTGGAAGAAAATATTTTTAAAATTGGGATTGCCTACCAGAGAGGAGATTTTTGCATTCGTGAATACCATTTATACCCTACATCACTATAGTGGGGAAAGTATTATGAGTTTGTACTGATATTTGTAACGCACAAAATTTTTGTCCTACACCCAACTTAAAGTATACCGATCGACTTAGAATCACTTTCTGAGTCGAATAAGCCATATCCGTCCGGCTGGCTGTCCTTTATACCTTGCGCAAGCTACAGACCGCAATTTTCTAGACATTTTAATAAAAATTGGACCATACTATTTGGACCTATTGAAAATAGTTGAAATCGGTCCATTATTTCCCCTAGCCCGCATACAACCAGACCTTCCGATTTGTTGTTTCGGCAATGTCCGACTATACTTTCCTACTTGTTTATTTATTGCTATCGTTATACAAATCATTATCACGAGATTTATTTTTAAACTCACGAGAACTACTTTTATTTCAACTCTTTATTTTTATACCCTTCACCTTCGTGAGAAGGGAATATACAAAGCTTGGAAAGAATGAATTATATGTATATGAAATTAATTCACTTATATTTTTAATTCGTTTAAAGGAAATATAACTCAAGTTAGAGAAAAGAATTAGGGAATGAATTCTTTTAGTGCATTAGTAAATAGTCAGAGAGTTGTAAGGAATCTAATACTTACGGTATAATTAAATGTGATTACACTATCTACTGTTTTATTGCTGATTTCCATTCAAGTGGAATTTTTCAATCAGACATATTATATAACAATTGATAGATTTTCCTAGTTCTTAAATTTTTTCGAAAAATGCGGAAATGAAAGATATAAGTTAAATATCCTAGTATAATATGATCTTATTCAGAATTCGGACCACATCAGATTCTTCAAGTCATTTTAAAAATTATTGAAAAACATTGGATCATATAAAAATTTTATTATATTTATTATTCTAGATGGGCCTATTACCAGTGTTCCATTAAAATAAGTTATTAGCATTAAGCTAAAAGATTGAAATTTTAATTTTAAAATTCGAATATCTTGAAAAATATTAGAGAGTTTTTTATAGTTCGTTGTCACTAGTTTTACATTGATTCTTTACTAGTAAAAATAACTAATTAAAAACAACTCTTATAATTTTGGAATGTCCACCTAGTCATCAGTGACTTCTAGAACTCGTTCTTTGAAATATGTTTATGGTTCTAAAGTGCTTCTAACGATTTTTCTTCGAACTAGTTCTTTGACACTAGTTTTACATTGATTCTCTACTTTAAAAAAAAATAACTAGTTCAAAACTGTTGCTTAGAAAATGTATATTCAAACATTTCCTAGAGCTAGTTTCCAGACAGGAAACTTATAAAATAATCTCTTTTTTAGAAATGTTCTGTCAAGACGTTTACAAAACCAGTTCTGAAGTTCCGAAAAAATGAATTGTCCGAACGCCAAACGTAGGTTGAAAAGATAAAACGTATTCTAGGTTTTATGATAAAACTTTTATCTTTTCAACTTACCTACAACCAGTATATATTTTTTTGTAATAGCCATACGTGCTCTCTCCAAATCCATGGGAATAAATCAAAGATTGTTAAAAAAGCCCGTCGCAAAACGACTTAATTTAGTGCTATTTTGTTTTTGATCATTGGTCGATGATCTAGATAAAATATTCTCTTAAGAAATCAAACTATTTATAACAATTAATTTTCGTAACAATTTGTTTATTTTATTTAGTATATATACACAATTTAATCTTTATAATTTCTCTTCTGTAGTTTTGATTTTTTCTTCTTTTTTTTTCTTCTTAATACGACACTATCTTTCTGTTATACAAATTTATAGAAAAAAATTCTTAATCACAATTATATAATAGACGAAATTTTTGTTTTGTTTGTATTGTAACAGCAAGACTTTTTAATATAAATTCAAGAATTCCTTTACATATATTTGTTATTTATGTATGTGTATTAATTATATTATATGAACATAATTTCACAATCTTGCATTTTCAAGTAAATTATTTATTATTGTCTTATATTGTGCGTATGCATTTTATAAATATAAAAAATAGGCGTATAAAAAAGAGAAATAAAAATGAAACAGGAACCAAATTTAAAAGTGTTTGAAACAGAATTTAAATTTGTAATTTAATTTTAAAAAATATTATATATATGTTTAAGCTAAGGAAGTAATTAGATTTAACAAAACTTATTTAAAAACCAATTTGTACAGCTTAAATTTTCATATGAAAAATTTTAAAAAATATTCTTAGAATAAAGAATAAACTTTATTTTTTTTAAAGATTTTCTCGAATTAACAACTGTTTTTTAAAATGTATAAACTTTTGTTTTTTGGTTAAAGCCTAACTAAAACAAATTTATAATTTGCTTTTCTTTTTTTTTAACAAAGACTAAATTCTTATTAAAAATGAAGAAACTAATAAAACTAAGATAAATTTGCTGGCGTTTAAACTAAACAATTAAATAACAACATAGTATTGACACTGAGGGGGGGTTGGTGAGGTGAGGTGTAAAAAATTAGAATAGACATAATAAAATCTAATTGGAAACTGTTGTCAGACTTCGGCCACGTTTCAAATGGAATAATTCACGCAATAATTCTTTAATCAAATCATAGGCAGAGAAACTAATGCCCACAGCAATAGGTCCCTTAATCCAGTTCATACTTAAACCCTTATAAAAACCATTCTTAATGCCTTCCTCCCTAGAAAAGAAAAGCGAGGTTTGTAAATAATTATATAAAAAGAGTGTAGGAATGACTTACTTATAAATAGTTTTTAATGTTTTATAAATGGTGGGATATTTATTGTGTCCATCTTTGGTTACACCCATTGTTTGCATACGTCTTCGAACAATGTCTAAAGGATAGCTAGAGGTTTGTCCAACAGCACCAGCTACAGCGCCAAATGCCAAAGTGACTAGAGTATTCGGTTTAGCATTGCCAGTCATTTCTGTAAGTAGCAATGTTTGCAAATATTCCTAATTGAATTAAAATTTTGAAAAAAAACTTACCCGTGTATTCACGTTTTAAAGTTTCATATGTAAAGAATGAGGTGCCTGCATACGGTATTACACCCAAAACTGTTGCCCAATAACCTCTATACAAGGTATGGGGACCTTCTTCGACCCAAATTTTAACAAAAACGCTGCGCAGAGTTCTATAAAAAAAAAAGAAATAAATGCTAATTATTAAAGAATACCCGGCAAATGTAAAAAGTTGAACACTAGTGCAAACAGAACTACTCTTTAGATTCACATGACAGTTATATCTTCAGTCCGGAACAACCAGAGTGTTACTCGGCCAAAACTTGTCAACTGATCGACGGCTGTATCAATCAAAAATTTCACCCCATGAAAGTGCCATTGGACACATTCGAACTTTAACAACAACAACTCTTCATATTTTGGAACATCTATTTAGACACCATTGACTTCTAGAACTTGTTCCTTGAAACGTTGTTATGGTTCTAAAGTACTTTTAACGATTTTTCTTCGAACCTGTTCTCTGTCACTAGTTTTACGTTGATTCTCTACTAGTAAAAAATAACTAGTTCAAAACAACTCTTCAGATTTTGAAATGTCCACCTAGACACTAGTCTTAAAATATCCATCACATAGTTCTAGAACTTCTTGTGCAACTAATACAATTTTACCTGTGATATAAAATTAATTTTATCTTTTCAACTTACCTATAACCAGTATATTTATCTGTAACAGCCATACGTGCTCTTGCCAAATCCAGGGGATAAGTCAATGATTGTGAAGTTATGCCCGCCAAAGAGCCCGCCACAAAACGTCTCAATTTAGTGCTATTTTGTTAATTGTTTAAAAAGAAAAAAATAAAATTTAAAAATTAGTTTTATTCTTAATTTGCTAAATTTATTGAACCTACTCTGTACCGTCTTTATCCACATGTAATATTTTACGCCATTGTTCATGGGCTGTAAACTGTATGGCTGCATAAGGCACTATACGAGCCATGGTAGCAGAATTGCCACGCCATAACGCCAGTGTACCCTCTTTGGCATGAGTTTGTTTAAGGAAGTCTATGGCACCTTTTAATGTATAGCGTACATTTTTGCTGAAAATTTGAAAACAATTTTTTTTTTGAAATATACGATTTTAGAATTATCACTGGACTATAGGCTAGACTATAGACTCGACTATAGACTAGACTATAGACTAGACTATAGACTAGACTATAGACTAGACTATAGACTAGACTATACAGGCCTGTCACAGAATTTCATTCCGATCGAAAGTGGAATTATTTCCGTATTTTTGCTTCTTCTAAAAAAGAAAACGAAAAATTCTTTCGGAATGAAACCACTTTCAGTTTTTGAAGTGGAATTGATATTTGTATGTAATTAACGCTTTTCTTAGTTTTAATAATAAGAACCTTTACTAAAAACATGGTTCTTGTTTTGATTAGCTAAACAAGAACAATTTTAAATGAAATCTATATAATTTTATTAATTTTTTGTCAATTTACGAAATAATTCGGAATTTGGAGAAGCTAAAACAAAAATGATCGGAATAATAATACGGAATTGAAACCATTTCGATCGGAATGAGTGACAGACCTGATAGACTAGACTATAGACTAGACTATAGACTAGACTATAGACTAGACTATAGACTAGACTATAGACTAGACTATAGACTAGACTATAGACTAGACTATAGACTAGACTATAGACTAGACTATAGACTAGACTATAGACTAGACTATAGACTAGACTATAGACTAGACTATAGACTAGACTATAGACTAGACTATAGACTAGACTAGACTATAGACTAGACTAGACTATAGACTAGACTATAGACTAGACTATAGACTAGACTATAGACTAGACTATAGACTAGACTATAGACTAGACTATAGACTAGACTATAGACTAGACTATAGACTAGACTATAGACTAGACTATAGACTAGACTATAGACTAGACTATAGACTAGACTATAGACTAGACTATAGACTAGACTATAGACTAGACTAGACTATAGACTAGACTATAGACTAGACTATAGACTAGACTATAGACTAGACTATAGACTAGACTATAGACTAGACTATAGACTAGACTATAGACTAGACTATAGACTAGACTATAGACTAGACTATAGACTAGACTATAGACTAGACTATAGACTAGACTATAGACTAGACTATAGACTAGACTATAGACTAGACTATAGACTAGACTATAGACTAGACTATAGACTAGACTATAGACTAGACTATAGACTAGACTATAGACTAGACTATAGACTAGACTAGACTAGACTGTAGACTAGACTATAGTCTAGACTATAGACTAGACTATAGACTAGACTATAGACTAGACTATAGACTAGACTATAGACTAGACTATAGACTAGACTATAGACTAGACTGCAAACTAGACTACATACTAGAATAAAGACTGGACTATAGACTAGACTACAGACTGGACTATAGACTATATACTATAGACTACTGTAGACTATACTGTACTATAGACTAGACTGCACACTAGACTACATGCAAGTTTAAAGATTAGACCATAGAATAGACTAAAGACTAGACTATAGGCTAGACTATAAACTTTACTATAGACTATACTATAGATTAGACTATAGACTAAAGTATAGAGTAGACTATACTAGACTATAGGCCACAGACTTATCTATTGACTACTATGTTAAAAGTACAAAAAAATGTACTGGGGGTACCGCGGTATTTTTCGATACCAAAAAGTACAGCAAAAAAGTACTAAAGTACTGAATTTTCCATGCCTGGCAGTCAATATCGGCATACGATTGAAACTCTATCTTAATGTTAGATTAAATTTTCTTTTATATCTATAACTTTAGAATTTTATTTATTTCAAACTTACTTGATTTGAAAATTAATTTTTGTACGATCCAGAGGTGCTATTGTAGTTTTGGCCAGAGCTCCTGCTGCTGCACCAGCTGTTAAACTTACTATAACCGTTTGATAAGTATTTGCTATTATAGATTAAAGATTATTTGTAAACATTTACATAATTTATAATATCGTTCATTTACTAGAAGACTGGCGTAATCCAAAAAACGTCTTTCCGTGAAAAGTGGCTTTAAACAAATCAAGTTATTTGAAAAATTAAACCAGATTCAGATAGTTTCAGTAATTATGTTTCATTTTTATTTTTATTTATCCAATATTCGTGATAACAAGAGTTTTAATTCTTACGATTACAACAAAAAATCGATCTCACACTGAAAACAACACAGGCCTACAAAGTTTTAAACCCAGAGACCAAGGTATACTTTTCTAAAGGATTTCTCCATCACATCTGGGATTCGAGATATCGTGTCCTGGAGTTTGAAAAAAAACTAAATTTTTTGGCCCTTTTTGAGACGAGGGGAAAATCTAAGGTCAGATTTAGATTCAACGTGGTCAGTCCTTAGAAATAATAAGTATAACTTGGACTCTGAGTTTCGGCTTTTTTGAAATTTTGTCGGCCTTTGTAATAGACATATTTGAAATTTGTATGTCACATGTTTTGTAGCTCTCAGTACAAAAAACTCCAATTTTGGACAAGACTTGTAGTAAATGAGCGATATGTATTGTTAGTTATAAGTTTACCTATTGTTTCAGGACTTTTAATATCATTTTCTGGCTGTTGCTGTTGTTGATGTTCAGATGCTATCGTCGTAGAATCATTGTTCAATTTTGTTGAGGTTGTGTTGACGGCGTTTGTATTTAAATTTGCATTAGCAGTTGCAGTAGTGACGGCGGCGGCAGCTGTGGAAAATTGACCACTAGTTGTCTTAATGGGCATTGCAATATTTGGTTTCTCCAAAAGATGGCTCATTGGAGACTGTAAAGAGATGAATGAGAAATATTTATGAATTAATTGATTAAGAAAAGAACAATATTAAATTATATTCTAAAACTATTTATTAATCTTTTTAGCTTGTACTCCCAAACTTAAAAAAAAAATACAATTTCTGACCCAAAATAAACAAATTTAAAATTGTTTAAAAGATTACGTATTAATTTCACTGATAACAGGTATATTAATGGATCAATTTTATTAATGTCTAACTTATAAATAAATCCACACTTTTTAAAATTATTTATGCATTCTTATTATCTCAGAAAATGTGTTTTTTTAAACTTTATTCTTAATAATAAACAACTCGTGACATCAATATTAGCAGATTTGTTTACTATTAAAAATACATATGAAAAAGAAATACAAAAATATGTGAGAATATAAAAAATTGCAATATTTGTTTCATACGTAATACTTATTCACATCGAATTAAAAGAGAAAATGAGAAGATATGAATGCTATAAAGGGGCTTGGTTCCAAAAAAAAACTGAAGTCTACAAAAACAAATTTATAAAAAGCTGTGATTAAAATAAATATTAATGCTTTCGTTTTTTAGTTGTATTTTTTCAATATTTTCCAAACCTCTGATTCTTATCAAATTGATTCTACGACCTAAAAATATGTTTAGGTATATATCTCGGCGTTTTTCCAATTCATTTCAAAAATAAAAATTCCACTTACAAAAGTGTTATTGTAGAACTTTAAACATAACATTAAAAAAGAAATAAATGAACAAAGAATTACAAAATAAACCAATTTAAATTTATTTATTGTATATTTTTTTAAATATTTTTCTACCAATGAATACAATTATATTTACCTTAAATACATATTCATCTTGTTGACAAATGCATCGTTGTCGCATCACAGTCATATTTTTATTTTGCCATAACAATGACTAGACTTTGTAATCAGTTTTTTCTATTCAACATTTAATAGTTTAGAATTATTGTATTTACAAGTTCAATTAAACAATTAAAAATGCATATGTTTTTATACTTTTCTTAGAAAAAAACTTGGAACTATTGCTGAGAGACCATTGAAAAATCTATGATCATATTTTTTCTATATATTTTTTTTAAATATTATTAAAAACAATTTGGCTTTAAGCCAAATAGTCAAAAAGAAATATGATCAAACATACATATTACATATTTATTTTAAAAGAAAACTGCAAGATGTTGGCATTTAGAAGAAATAAAACAAAAACAGAAAAAAAATCTATAAATATATTTTGTTCACGTGCACACGACTTGATTTTGAGAACAAGAAACCATCCATGTTGAGTAATAATTGAAAATGTAAATTCTAAATATCGAACCACAATATTCAAAAAGTGCTAACTCGAAAATCTCTACTTTTTAGGAAAGTAAAAAGTGTTTAATTTTCATAATGTTGAGCAAATTAATAACTTACTTTTCATAATATGTTTATGATAAACTTACGAATTTATACTTATATACATATATATGTATATACAGTGGCGAGCAAAACTGGATACATGTTTAGCTAATAAGACTTAAAAATGCTATAAAACCCATAAAATAAAGGAAAAATAATAAAGTTTTCAATTTTAAATATTCAGTAAAGCAATATAAAAAGAAAACAAAATTAAATTCATGATAATTAAATATTAATCTAAAAATTAAAACATATTTATAAATAAAGTCGAAGTATCCAGTTTTGCACGTTTTAAAAAAGATTTGATTTTTAATATTTTGTGCAAAGTCCTTTTGCTTTTATGACACTTTTTATACGTTTAGGCGTACTTTTGACCAAGGTCTCAATGGTCCGGTGCGGAATACTAGACCACTCCGTTTGTACTCTCGACCAAAGTTCTTTAAGATTTCTTGGTGCATTATCGAATTGCGCAAGACGTTTTTTTAACAAAGCCCATAAATTTTCAATTGGATTGATTTCCGGGCATTGAGTTGGCTATTGCATCGTTTGAAAATTCTGCGCTGAAAGCCAATTCTTTACGATTTTTGCCGTATGCTTCGGATCCCCATCCTGTTGGAGTATAACCTCTGACTCTGGATATGCACATTCTTCCACAAAATCTTGAATATTGGATTGAAAATACTCAAATAATCCTCCTTTTTCATTATAGCATCTAATTTTACTAAAGAACCGAGATTCTACCAAGTGAAACAAGCCCACACAATCAGACTACCACCCGCTTGTTTCACCCTTTTGTTTTACTTGGTGCTTTTTTAAGCTTTCATAAGGGCGGTGCCAGTAATATTCCTTGCCATCAGACTGAAAACGATTAGTTTTCGTTTCATCGGACCATATAACCCTTCATCGGACCATATAACCCTTTTTCAGTCATCAACACTCCAATTTTTGTGGTTCTTGCTAAATTTAAGACGATCCTTTACACTTTTTTCTGATAACGCTGGTGTTTTCTGCTTTACGGCTGATATAAGGCCAATTCTACGAAGAGCTCCCCGGAATGCCCATTCACTTAAGGACTTATTTATGACGACTATAGCCTGTTTTTTGTATTTTTACCTGTTTGAATGTCAATAAACGCTCAATAAGATGTCAATAAGATCTCTCCGAAAGCAAACACGATCGACATTTCTTAACATCTGGTGTGCTCATATTTTTCTTTTTCGCAATTGTAGCACTCTTCGGTGGCAAATTCCTAACTTCTTGGCAATTTGACGAGCACAGTAATTATTTTTTGTCATTTCGACCATTTGGTTTCCCAATAAACTTGATATTTTTCTAATTAAAACTAGAAAATTAAAATATTTGCAAAAAAATTACAAATATGACTCAAAAATGGTAACTGTTTGTTTTGATGCTTTCTTCAAAGGTAAATCAAGTAGCAGTACTCAAATTCATTGTTATTTTTAAATTTACTTGTGTTGCTAGATTAATTAAATTTAAACGTGCAAAAGTGGATACATAGACTTTTTTAATAAAATTAGCTAAAACTTGAGATAAAGTTTCAATATTCGCGAATTTTCTATTGTTTTATTTTCTTATTCTTCTATTGCTTATTTTAAAACCAATATAAAATTTTTGTTTAATATTTTCTGGATTTTATTGGGATTTTAACATACACTTGATTGATATGTATCCAGTTTTGCTCGCCACTGTATATACAAATATAATTTTGACACATTCGAAGGGAAATAAGAAATTTAAAGAAAACATTCATTGGTAAAACAAATATGACTATTTCAATTGTTTAAGCAGATTCCCATTCAGTAAGTCATATTAATAATATCGGAGATATTATTTACATTTATAGAATTTCATAAAATCAGTTGAATTCACATTTATAGATTTTTATTCCATCGGGATTCTATATGTCTGATTTTATGTTTACAGGTTTAATAATTTAGAAAAACAAAAAGTACCAATTGAATGACAGAAAAGTACCAAAAATCCTTTCATACAGATTTTCACTCATTCAGGACTCTGAATTTTGAATTGCATGTTTCTAGGTTCAATATTATAGAAAACTCATAAAGTACCCGTTAAAGAACGAAAATATACCAAAAATAGTACCTGGTACCAGAGTTACAGATAACACCCATTAGAATACATATTCAATTTTTCAAATTTTAAAATTATTTTTTTATATTTTCCCATTTCTGCCTAATTTCTCACACACAATTTTTTATCTCTAATTTTGGAGAATAACAAAACAATAACAACACACAGCTTCACACGTAAGGTCTTGTGCTTGCTCTGTTTCGTTTGGACCGATTTTACTGGTTAAAAGATGAAGATTCGAATCTCGCTGATATCTAAGGTCTTCTGAAAACTGATTTCAACATACATTTTGACAAACGGACATGGCTAAATCCATTCCGAGAACGCATTGAAAAATCATTTGCCATTAAAAACTTGTTATGGCCTTAGATTGAGTTAGCACTTTTTGAATATAGGCGGTCGATATGTACTTTTAAATTTACTTATATATTTTTGTCTTAATATTTCTTTGAGACACTGTTGTGTGATATATTTTTTTTTATACATATTCGATAAAATATAAAACAAAAACAATTTTGTTTTTTAATCATTAAAGAAATTTTCCAATCTATAAAATTTTTGGCGGGCGCTATTTTTTTAGCATGACTTGCCACATTTGAAACGATTAATCTTAATGCATGAAAATTTTATTTTTTTTATAAATAAGCACACAATGAAAAATTAACAAAAAGTATTAAAAGAAATTGGTCTAAAACATTTTTTTCAACAAAATAATAATAATTAAACACAAGAATCATTGAACACATACTTTTTGGTTGTACTCTCTCGACCCTGACCATGTATAATGCCAAAAATTGTTTATTTATAAAATGCAATTTCTTGCTTAATATTTTACTTTTCTTTTTTGTTTGCCTTATATAAAATTAAACAAATATTTTTGTATTTGAAAAGTCATTTAATTGATAACTAAATAAATAGCAAGTCCAATGTGCAATTTATAAATATGTTTGTATTTATTTGTATATATATTTTTTTAAATTCATCGATAATCCATATCTCAGCCCTTCAGTCTTATCATTTTGTTTGTTTTTTTTCTTTGTTTTCTTATCAATTGAAAAGAGTAAGCTATTAATTTAATCACTTTCTTTTTGCAAAAAAATTATATTTAAGAAAATTGTATAAATTTTATCAACTAGACAAAATTAGGCTACCGTTTGTTTGTGTTTTAATTAGATATTTTTTGTTTCTATATTTTCATTGAATTTTATAGCGGCATTAAATGTTTTGTATCTTATCATTAGTTTGAAAAGATAATTCGTTTAATCTTATTTTTCTTCAATTGATAAAACTTTTTTTATACTTTAATAATTTAATGACTTTATAGAGATTTTTATAAATAATATTATCTTAATTATTAAAGATTTTTAAAACATTTTCTATTGTTTGGGTTAGGTTAGGATGATGGCCTAGACCATTATGGTGCCTGTTGTACACTGCTTTTCATGGAAATTTTTTTTTTTTTTTTTTTT